TCACTGCTGTGGCCTCTCCCGTTGCGGAGCACAGGCTCCGGACGCGCAGGCTCAGCGGCCATGGCTCAGCGGCCATGGCTCACGGGCCCAGCCACTCGGCGGCATGTGGGATCTTCCCGGACCCGGGGCACAAACCCGCGTTCCCCTGCATCGGCAGGTGGACTGTCAACCACTACGCCACCTGGGAAGCCCGGGGCTCATTCCTTTAACCAGCTGAGTGATTCCAACCAGCTCAGGCCCTGTCCCCACCCAGAGGCCTTGCTTCTCACCACTCCCCTCCTGTCTTTCCAGAGCTGCCTGTGAAGTTCAGCCACCCTCTGCAGGATGTGGTGGCCACGGAAAAGGACAAGGTGGTCCTGGCCTGTGAGCTCTCACGCCCCAATGTGGATGTGCGCTGGTTGAAGGTGCCTGGGAACTTGGACTCCTCTGCCCGCTCTTACCTCTCACCATGGGTGGGCGGGAGTGGAACCACTCTGCTGGGCAGTTCCAGCACTTGACCTGGCCTCATTCCTCCATAGGACGGTGTGGAGCTGCGGGGGAGCAAGACGGTGGGCATGGTGGCCCAGGGGGCCTGCAGGAGTCTCATCATTTACCGATGTGAGCTTGGGGACCAGGGCGTGTATGTGTGTGATGCCCACGATGCTCAGAGCTCAGCCTCCCTGAAGGTGCAAGGTGAGGGCTGGGTGGCTGGGTGCAAGAACCTCCTGGCCCCCCACTTGGTCACCCAGCAAGTGCTTGGCCCTCTGGCTCTGCTCTTGCCCCACCCATCCTGTACTCCCTCAGCAAGCTGGGGTGGGGGGTAGCAGTCAGATAGCTCTGCGTGTCAGGATGTAGCAGGGCCTGCTTCTTGCCCCAGGCCAAAATGTCCAGATCGTGAGGCCTCTGGAGGATGTGGAAGCGATGGAGAGGGAGGGTGCCACCTTCTCCTGCGAGGTCTCCCACGATGAGGTGCCTGCCCAGTGGTTCCGGGAGGGCAGCAAGCTTCGGCCCAGTGACAATGTGCGGATCCGCCAGGAAGGTGAGCTGAGGACAGTGGGTGGGGCTTCAGCAGGGTTTCTCCTCCTTCCCGCCCCCAGGCCACCCCTCCCTTGAGTGCTGAGTGGCCTGTGTTCCCAGGAAGGACATATACTCTCATCTATCGGCGGGTCCTGGTGGAAGATGCAGGGGAAATCAAATTTGTGGCACAACGTGCAGAATCACGAGCCCAGCTCCGAGTAAAAGGTAATGGCGGCTCAGGGCAGGGCATGGGCTGGACAGCATGTGTGTGAACAAGCTTGTGTACTGAGTCTTACAGGGCTGAAAGGCCAGCTGTGCCTGTCCTGGGGTCCCTCCTGGAATGAGGACAGCAGTGATCCAGGAGGAGGGAAAGGGGGGTATTCCCTCCTTGGCAGGAAGAAAGTGGTCTAGGGGAGGCAGCCTTGGGGTCTCCTTCTTTGTTTAAAACGGAGGTACCAATGAATTCTTCCTGGGACTGCAGCAAGTGCTGGAGAGAAAAGGTGTGAGGCCCTGGCAGGAAGTAAGCACACGAGGCTTTACCTGGTGGCCTTGAAGACAGTCAAAGTGGCTGCGGGGCATGAGGGAGAAAGGGTCTAGAAACAGGTAGGGGGCAGGGGTGTGGGGCATTTGGATGCATAAGGTGAGGGCAGGGTGCAAGGGATTCGGAGGTGTGCAGGATGAGGGTGAGGCTGTGTGGCGAGAGGATGGGCGGGGTGGGAGAGTGAGGCAGGCATGCGCATGATGAGGCCCACTGGATGATAGCGAGTGTGGGTGTGTGCCCAGTGTCCTTGTGGTCAGATGTGAATAGCAAGTCCCAGACTAGCCCGAGGGCAACACTCAGCCTAGCTATCTGCTGGCTCTGGTGGGCGGGCCGGCATAGGCTGTTTAGCCTGAGCATGATGTCCCAGTCCGGCTGGTTGGAAGATGCACAGCCACAGCACCCAGCCCTGGGTGTTCGGGATCACTGTGCACCTGCCCTGACCCTGCTGGGTGTACCCACAGAGCTGCCAGTATCCATCCTACGCCCGCTGCGGGACAAAATCGCAATAGAGAAGCACCGGGGTGTGCTCGAGTGCCAGATGTCGAGGGCCAGCGCCCAGGTGCGGTGGTTCAAGGGCAGCGTGGAACTGCAGCCTGGGGCCAAGTATGAGATGGTCAGTGACGGCCTCTACCGCCAGCTAGTCATCAACGCAGTCCAGCCTGAGGACGAGGACACTTATACCTGTGATGCTGGCGATGTTAAGACCAGTGCCCAGTTCTTTGTGGAAGGTTCGGGCAGGGCTGGGTGGGCAGCTGTTCCTTTTTTCCGCCAGGGGAGGTGTTACAGCCTGTGGCACTTAGAGGTGGCCAGGTCTGAGAAGGACCTGGCTGGGCACGTTGGGTCACCCCAGGGAGGAAGTGAGCATGCCTGAGAGGGTTTGTTCCCAGGAAGTAACACCAAACCTGCAGGAGGGGTGGCTGGTGATCCTCCCCCGGGACTGCCCCAGTGACTGGCCGCTCGCCCACAGAGAAATCCATCACTATCGTGCGGGGCCTGCAGGATGTGACGGTGACGGAGCCTGCCCCTGCCTGGTTCGAGTGTGAGACCTCCATCCCCTCAGTGCGGCCGCCTAAGTGGCTCCTGGGGAAGACAGTGCTGCAGGCAGGGGCTGACGTGGAAATGGAACAGGAGGGCACAGTGCACCGGCTGACGCTGCGGCGTACCTGCTCCACCATGACAGGGCCGGTGCACTGCACCATTGGCAAATCACGCTCCACCGCCTGCCTGGTGGTCTCAGGTAAAAGTGCGCTGCCTGGCGGGTTGGCTGCAGATGGAGAGGGGGCAGGGCAGGGGCAGGTGTTATGGCCTTGTGGTTTGGCCCACTTTACGCAATGCTTCCCTCTTTCCTCCGCCACAGACATTCCTGTGGTGCTCACGCGGCCACTAGAGCCCAAGGTGGGGCGCGAGCTGCAGTCGGTAGTCCTCTCCTGTGACTTCAAGCCACCCCCCAAGACCGTGCAGTGGTACAAGGCGGAGACACCCCTGGTGCCATCTGACAAGTTCAAGATGAGGCTGGAGGGCCACATGGCAGAGCTGTGCATCCTGCGGCTCACACCCGCGGATGCTGGTGTCTACCGGTGCCAGGCCGGCAGTGCCCAGAGCAGCGCTGAGGTTACTGTGGAAGGTACAGAGCGAGGGGGCACAGGACCACCAGAGGGTCTCTAGGGGAGGCGGTGATGGCGGTCATGCTGAGCTGCCTGGTGTGCTCCTGGCAGTGCGGGAGGTGACGGTGACGCAGCCACTGCAGGACTTGGAGGTCACGGAGGAGGGCTGTGCCTGCTTCTCCTGCGAGCTGTCCCACGAGGACGAGGAGGTGGAGTGGTCGCTCAATGGGACGCCACTGTATAACGACAGCTTACACGAGATTACCCATGAGGGCCGCCGCCACACGCTGGTGCTGAAGCAGGTCCAACGGGCTGACACGGGCACTGTATGCGCCTCCTCGCCCAAGGTTATGGCCTCGGCCCGCCTGGAGGTCAAAGGTGAGGTGTCCTTGTGGGGTCTCTGGGGACCCCTGGGATGTGCACCTGGCACCCCGAGGGCCAGAGGTGGCAGCTCGTCCCCTCAGTCGCCCACACCTTCCCTGCAGGGAAGCCGGTGGTGTTCCTGAAGGCGTTGGACGACGTGTCCGTGGAGGAGTGGGGCACGCTGGCCTTGCGGTGCGAGGTCTCTGACCACCAGGCTCGTGTGGTGTGGCGAAAGGATGGCATGGAGTTGGGCCCCAGTGACAAGTATGAATTCCTGTACACAGCGGGCACTCGGGGACTCGTGGTGCACAACCTGAGCAGGGACGATGCTGGCCTGTACACCTGCGATGTGGGCACTGATGAGACCCGTGCCCATGTCAGCGTGCACGGTGCGTGCTGCAGCTGGCTCCAGGTGGCGGGGCCAGGGCACTGGGGGCGTGGCTCTGGGCATGGGGGTGCCTCCGCCCGGGGGGCCCAACCACTCTCCGAGACCAGGGGCTGCTCTGCTGAGCCTGGAGAGGTCAGGGCAGGCTCCTGAAGGAGCAGGCTTGACAGGGTCTGAGGAGACCCAGGTGCAGGCAGGTGGGCCAGGGATGATGGGCAACAGAGCAAAGCTTGGGAGACTAGACTGGCTCTGCTTGATAGAGTCCCAAGGTGTAAAGGATTCTACAGAGGCTGGAAACATTCACTCTGCACCAGGGGATGTGTACGGGCAGGCACAGGGGCCACGGAGGGGCGGTCTGGAGAGCCTCCTGGAGTGGGCGAGTGGGAGAGCCCAAGATGTCAGGCAGGGGGTGCCCCAGTAGGGCTCCCAGGCCATGGCACAGCTTGGTGAAGGTGGCTGTGGGCAGGCCACGTGCTTTTCACATTGCTCCTGCCAATCTGGGCCTGGTTCCCCAACCATAGGGTGGATGCCTGACGTCCTGGGTGCATCACTGTCCGGGCTCCATCCCCGTAGTCCTGCTTTCTCTTGTGTGCATGGCAGGCCTGCTGCTCTGTGATCCCGTGGCTGGTCCCTGATGGTCTGGCCAGTGTTTGATGAGACAGGAAAGGGCCAGGAAAGGGAGGGCGGTGTGGTGAGTTTGTCCTAGAGCTGGATTGCCTGTTCTTCTGGAGCATATAAGCTGGTGACAACTGTGTGCGGTGCTTATTCTCTCCACATTGTTCCATAACAAATGTGAAGGCGGCCGCCCTGGTCATAACGCATAGCTATCAGCCATCCAGACACCAAGGTGTGGACAGCTGGAGGCCGAGAGAACATTTGCTGAGAGGGGCAGCAGGCCCTCTGGGAGTGGGGTTGGGGAGGGTGGGCTGGTCTTGTCCCTCCTGGGGTGTGGACCGGGGCTGCTACAGGCTTGACGGTGCCTGTCTCGAGGGGCAGGCTTCCGTGGGCCTGGCTGGCATGACGGCTGTCTCCTCTGGCCCACAGACCTGCACGTGGGCATCACCAAGAGGCTGAAGACAGTGGAGGTGATGGAGGGCGAGAGCTGCAGCTTTGAGTGCGTCCTGTCCCATGAGAACACTAGCGATGTTGCTGTATGGATGGTTGGTGGGAAAACGGTGGGCAGCTCTGGCCGCTTCTGGGCCACACGCCAGGGCCGCAAGTATACGCTGGCTGTCCGAGATGCTCTGCCAAGTGACGCTGGGGAGGTGGTCTTCTCTGTGCGGGGCCTCACCTCCAAGGCCTCGCTCATCATCAGAGGTGGGTGATGGTGGCTGTGGGAACTGACCGGCTGGGGCAGGTCGGGGGTCTGTCTCCAGGGGCTGGTTTGGGGGCTGATGAGCCTGGAGCAGGGGCCTTGGGCTTGGAAGCTGGAAGGGGGTGCATCTGGGGACTGTCTCCCCAGCCCCTGGTTGGCACCTGGAGGCATCTGTCAGAGTACTGGGGGCTTCTGGTCATCCAGGGGCCTTACTTTCTAGGATGAGGTTCTGGAGCCTTTGGGCAGAAGCAGGGTTTCTGATCTTCAGTCTGTGATTCGACTGCTGTGGTAGCTCCCAGGGTGCATGACTTGTGAAGCCAGTGAAATTGCCATTGGCATTTCTGAGCTCCTGCTTCCAGCATGAGTACTTGGTGCCAGTGGGTGAAGCTCAGCCCATAGTCAGTGCTGGCCCATGGCCGTGCTTTGAGTCACAGGACTCTGAACAGTGCTGAGAACATAAGATTCTGTGGTCTAATATTTCTCCCTCCCGGAGTCCTTCCCTGGTGTTCCAGGGCTCTGAGGCCCCTGGGTCTGAGGTTCCAGAGTTGGAAGCTTTGGAGCTGTAGGTTCTGTGGTCTCAACCTTCAGAGCCTGAAAGTTCCTGAATGCCTGCCTTGCCCTCACCACAGGCATGGCTAGGGCTGTGGCTGTGGGTAGAGCTGTGGCCATGCTTCTTGGGCCACCATCTCTGTTCTTTTCAGAGAGGCCAATTGACATTATGAAGCCACTGGAAGACCAGCGGGCCATGCTGGGTGAGGATGTGGTGCTGAGGTGTGAGCTGTCACGGGAGGGGACCCCAGTGTGCTGGCTGAAGGACGGGAAAGCCATTCGCAAGAGTCGGAAGTATGAGCTTCTCATCGAAGGCACTCGAGCCATGCTGGTCATCCATGCAGCCTCACTCAAAGATTCTGGCGAGTACACGTGTGAGACAGAGTCTTCCAAAAGCACAGCCAGCCTCCGAGTGGAAGGTAACCCCCATGAGAGACCGTGGGACAGCCCCTGTGGCTTCTCTTCCCAGGCAGGAACGGAGGGGTGCCCAGCAGGGAAGGGGCTTGCTCAGGTCCCTGAGGTTCTGTGGGTGGGCCAGGAGATCCACCTGTGATGGGAGTGATTTCCTGTCCTGAGGGCCTACATGGGGTCTGCACAGGCCTCTCCCTCCCATCCATTCTCCCCCAGAAAAGCCAAACCAGTTCACGGAGGAGCTGGCTGACCTGCAGGTACAGGAGAAGGGCGCAGCTGTGTTCGCCTGCAAGACGGAGCGCCCCGCGGCCTCAGTGACCTGGCGCAAGGGCCTCACAGAGCTGCAAACCTCGGAGAAGCATGCTCCCAGCCAGGAGGGCCTGACCTTGAGGCTCACCATCAGCGCCCTGGAGGAGGCGGACAGTGACACTTACACCTGTGACATCGGCCAGGCCCAGTCCCAGGCTCGGCTCCTGGTGAAAGGTTAGGCCCAGTCACCGTGCTCTTGCTCTCATTTGCACACTCTATTTCAAGGCCCATGGTGTGCTCAGGTGTAAGCTTTGTTTAAAGTAGACTTGGAGATGGGCAGAGATCAGAACTCTGCCTGGCCCTAGACAAACCCAGCCTTGGTTTCCCCATCTCCAAGGGGAGTTGTCCTGGGTGGTCTTGTCTCTGGCCCTCCCAGCTGGGCCTCATGTAAATGAGTCAGCAGCCCACGTTTATTTGTGCATTCATTTGCTGGATGAATGTTCCTGGAACCCTACCAGCGTGTGCCCCTGCATGAGCTCTGCATTTACTTACATACAGATGTACCGCCTCTGCTCCTGTGGAAGGAGACTTGCTCGGGGAAGTTTTTAGGTTTGAGCAGCAGTTTTCACCTGGCAGGCAGGGTGAGGGTTATCATTCTCCCACTTCACAGATAGGGAGACTGGGCCTTTACTCGGGGCTGTTGGCTGGTTCAGGGTTGTAGGACAAGCAGGCATCAGGGCAGGGTTGAGCCCAGCCCTCCAGATCCCAGGACCGGTGTCCAGGGTGAAGTCAGGTGGAGGTCCTTCCTGGGGGTCTCTCCACAGAAAAAAAAAACCCACAAGAATAACAAAGAAGCCTCACTCTTGATTTTTTTCTCTTTTTCAGTGAAATACAGTGAATCCACTGAGCTCAGTGAAAACATTTTGTTAGTGCAGTAGAAGCACTGCTATCTAATAAAGTACTGGGTTGGCCAAAAAGTTCGTTCAGGTTTCTCCGTAAGGTGCTACGAAAAACCCAAACGAACTTTTTGGCCAACCCAGTAGATGTTCATACTTTAAAAAAGTCAGAGTGTCCCATAATAACAACATATGGTCTTTAAAAACATTTAAAACACACAGACTTGTACCAGTCTAATAGTGTCAGCCAGAGCCTTTTCTTTGTGTATCAGTTCACGAATCAGAATTCCGTATCTCTTTTTGTGTACATCACTCTCCTGATGTGCTATCTATGCTTTCTGGTGTGCAATAGCTTCAAGACACCTGTGAATGCAGAAGGAATCTGGAGGCCAATCTGTCTCTATATTTATGACTTATTCCTAAGCTTTCACCATACCTAAGACAACAGCAAAAAATTTTTTTCTAGCCATTCACGTTGTCAGTCCTCCAATGCATTCGATTTAAATGTTATCATAGCCATGCGTCTTTTTTCACACTCGGTTCTTCTGTTAATACAAAATTTAATTGCGTTAAGTGATTTCTGTGACAGGCATAACCAGGTTAGGGAGCACAGCTTGATGGAGGGGCCTTACAGTGGGTCACCTTGTGTGCTCTGCAGAAGGACCCCAGAGGTGGATTGGGGCTCACTGGTGGATCTAAAACAAATACTTTTGGACAGTTCAGCTCGGACCCACTTACTGCTTTATGTTTTGTCATTTGGAGCCCGTTAGAGTCATTTGCTCGATCTCTGTTGTGAGCCCACCCCAGGTCTTGGGGAGCACCCTGCTTCCCTTGGCAGCTGGCCAGAGGGTCCCTGACATGCCCATTTGTGTCCCTGCAGGCCAGAAAGTGCTCATCACGGAGGACCTGAAGGACTTGGAGGTGCAGGAGGGCTCCTCGGCCACCTTTTGCTGCCGTATCTCCCCTGCCGACTACAAGCCGGTCCACTGGTTCTTGGACAAAACCCCACTGTCTGCCAATGAACTCAGTGAGATCGAGGTCCAGCCAGGTGGCTACCATGTGCTTACCCTGCGGCAGCTGGCCCTCAAGGACTCAGGCACCATCCATTTTGAGGCAGGCGACCAGCGGACCTCAGCTGCCTTGCAGGTCACAGGTAGGCTGCATGCCCAGTGCCCAGTGCCGTTGTGGGGGCCAGTCTGTGTGACTAAGCATGCAACCTCAAGACAGTGGCTTGGCCACACGCTGGGTGAGGCCCTGGGGCTCACAGAGAAGGCACGATGGACTTCCCATGGGCTGGGGCCTTGGATCCCAGGGGGCGGGGCTTGGGAGGCTGAGTGGCGCTATTTCAAGATGCGTTGTTGCACATGATATGCAGAGGTGATCTGAAGATCAGTGTAGAGGCTGGGCCCACCCCGCTGGTGTGTGGAGCCACACAGAGCCTGTCCTGTTCCCCCAGCAGCCCTGTCTGCAGCCCAGACTGAGGGGGGCAGGTGGGCACTGACCAGAAGTGTTGCCTGGCCTGCAGTGAGACCTGGGGCTTTTCCTGCAGGAGCCCCCAAGTGTCATATGCATCCCTCTCTGTCTTCAGAGAAGCCAGGTGTTTTCTCCCGGGAGCTCACAGATGCCACAGTCATGGAAGGGGAAGATCTGACCCTTGTCTGTGAGACTGCTGCTTTAGACAACCCTGTGTGCTGGACCAAGGATGGGAAGGCCCTGCGGCCGTCGGCTCGGTGCCGTCTGAGCTATGAGGGCCGCAGAGCCCAACTGGTCATCACTGACACCACCCTTCAGGACGGTGGGTGCTACAAGTGTGAGGCTGGCGGTGCCTGGAGCAGCTCCATTGTCAGGGTCCATGGTGAGCCCCTGGTGGGGGCTGCTGGGCAGCCTCCAGCTGCACTCTGGGCACCCCTGTTTTTTGTCTTGCTAAGGACAAGGGGGACTCCAGGACTCTATCTGACCCTCTCTATCTCTGCCCTCTATGTGTGTGTGTGTGTGGCGGTGGGGGGGGGGCTGCTGTTCTGAGGATCCTTCTGTCCACCTGTATCTTTCCAGCAGTTCATCCATCTCGCTCTGCTCCCTACTGCCCATCTCTGGGTCTCTGATGGTCCGGATAGCATCCCTCACCCTCTCTTGGTCTTCTGACCAGCAATCTCTTTTTTACTTCATTCCTGACTTTGTTTTGTGTTCTGACGTCACCGTGTCTCCCTTCTCCTGGCTTGGCTCATCTCCATCTGTCTCAGTCAGCTCGCGTTCCTGGTAACAAATACCACAGACTGAGTAGCATAAAAAAACGTGTCTCCCGGTTTATTTTCTCCCAGTTCTGGAGACTAGAAGTCTGAGATCAAGGTGTTGGCAGGCCTGGCTTCTCCTGAGGCCTTTCTCCTTGGCGTGTAGATAGCTGTCTTCTCCCTGTGTCTTCACAGTCATCCCTCTGTGCCTGTCTGTGTCCTAATCTCCTTTTCTTGTAAGGACACCAATACTGTGGGATTAAGACCCACCCTAGTGACGTAATTTTACCTCAGTCTTCTCTTTGAAGACCCCCATCTCCAAATACGGCCCCATTCTGGATCCTGAGGGTTGGGCCTCCAACAGATGAATTTGGGGGACACAATGTAGCCCATAACACTCCACCCTTCTCTGTTTCCTGCTGTTTGGCTTACCCTCCTGGAGAGGCAGAGGTTTTGAGGTCACCGTCACTAGCCCCCAGTGTAGACGGTGAGGTGGGCCTGCCTGCACCCTGCAGCTGCTGCTCTCAGCCATGCTTGGCTGCAGGGGAGACCCCTGTAGGAGGCAGCGGGGTGAGGGCTGAGCTGAGCTCATGCCTGTCCACAGCTCAGCCAGTGCGGTTCCGAGAGGGGCTGAAGGACATGGAGGTACTGGAGGGTGGTGCTGCCACACTACGCTGCATGCTGTCATCGGTGGCCATGCCCGTGGAGTGGCGTCATGGAGATGAGGTTGTGCAGCCTGGAGGCAAGTACAGCCTGCGGCAGGAGGGTACCATGCTGGAACTGCTCATCCGGGACCTGCGGCCTCAGGACAGCGGGCAGTACTCCTGCTGCTTCAGGGACCAGATAACATTGGCCAGGCTCACCGTACAGGGTAAGTATACTTACTCACTCTGCCCATGTGACCCTATGTGGTTCCATACAGCCCCTTTCATCCTTTGTGGGGGGATGAAGATGATGTCTTGTGTCCATCGGACCTTGTTGCAGCCCTACCTGCTGAGTTCATAGGAAGACTGAGAAGCAAGGAGGCCACAGAAGGGACCACGGCCAAGCTGTGCTGTGAGCTGAGCAAGGCAGCCCCTGTGGAGTGGAGGAAGGGGCCTGAGACCCTCAGAGCTGGAGACAGAGTGAGCCTGAGGCAGGATGGAGCTGTGTGTGAGCTGGAGATCCGTGGCCTGACCGTGGAGGATGCTGGGGAGTACTCGTGCGTGTGCGGGCAGGAGAGGACATCAGCCACGCTCACCGTCAGGGGTAAAGACCACACGTGACCACGTGGACTGGCATTTGGTGGCTGCCCATCACCTCTCTGCTCTGTTTCCTTTTCTACTCTGCTGTCTCGCTATCCTTTTCCTTCTATAATTCTTTCGTTGTCCCTGTCATGTTCCCTGTCTGCTGTGTGGCACATGTACAGGTTGGACCTTTAAATGTCACAGTCCACAGTGTGTACTGGGCACACCCAGCAGGTGATCCATGTCCGGTTAGGTTTTGTATCTTCTATGAACTATCCAATTCCTGTTTCTTCTGCGTGTTCAGAGAGCGTGATAGTGTTTGTGTGTTTCTGACCATCTCCAGGCCTGCCTGCCAAGTTCATAAAGGGTCTGAGGAAGGAAGAGGCCACGGAAGGGGCCACGGCCACGCTGCGCTGTGAGCTGAGCAAGGCAGCCCCTGTGGAGTGGAGGAAGGGACCCGAGACCCTCAGAGCTGGAGACAGAGTGAGCCTGAGGCAGGACGGAGCCGTGTGTGAGCTGGAGATCTGTGGCCTGCTTGTGGCAGATGCCGGGGAGTACTTGTGCGTGTGCGGGCAGGAGAGAACAGCGGCCAGGCTGACTGTCAGGGGTAAAGACTGTGTGTGGCCACGTGGAGCAGTGGCTTCGTGTCTAAGGGCTTGATCACGTCCTTGAGCTCTGCCCTGTCTGTGTACAGTCTTTCGCTTCTGTGTGCATCTCCTGCATTCCTGCAGC